CGGACCTGCACCGCCGAGCTTCGTTCCCATCCATTCATCCTACGAGCCAACCCTGGATAAGCGGTTGGAACGGATCTCCAGAAAGCGGTAGTCCCATTCCATTCGCTCCTGTTGATAATCATTTTGCGTTTGATGCTGCTGGAGGTGATTTTAGGGTTAGTATAGCATTATCGCTTAGTTTTTTGGTGTCCGGATTTCTGACTTGGACTCTTTTAAATTTAGAACCAACCGTTTACGCTACGTCATCCCCATCAACAACAACAACAACAACAACAACAACAACCACAACACCCACACGCATCTCACCACCACCACCACCACCACCCTCCTCCTCCGCACAACGCCTACTCCCACCCTCACCCCCACCCCGACCCCCACGCATCCTCCTCCACGCACTCCTTCTCCTCCTCTTCCTCTTCCTCCGCACACGACCACGACTCCCGACCCGGTACCGCCTCCGACATTAGCGATGCCCCTTCGAGACCTGGGACGTCTAGTTCGTTCGGGGACTCGTTACCTGGGAGTCGGCCTGGGACCAGTGCGGGTGCAGGCGCGGGTCCGGGCGTAGGAGTAGGGGTAGGGGTAGGGGTAGGGGATGGGGGACCAGAGCCTCCTGGATCTGGGAGGGACCATGCTCATGCTGGGTTTTCTTCTGCGTTTGGGTTGATGTCGCTTGATGATCCGGCTGTGTTGGCTGGGTTGGCGAATGATGGTGCGCCGTTTTTTAGTCACCTTACTTCGGGGGCTGGGGTGGGGGCGGAGCAAGGGGTGGATGGGTCTTCTTCCATGAATTTGAATGGGGTGCCTGTTGGGGTGGGGGTGGGGGTTGGGACGATGGGGTTCGGAGTTGGAGGGATGAGGGGGAATGATCCTGATGCGACGCCTATGCCGATGGGGGAGGCGCAGGCGATGGGGTTGGGTCCGGGGGCGGGAGGGGGTTCGGGTTCAGGAGGGGGGTCGTCGACGTCTCCTTCGCATGGCCAACAACATTTTCCTCGAGCGAGGCCTAGTACGGGACATGGACGGACTTCTTCGAGTTGGGGTACAGGTACGGGTGCGGTTACCCCTGGGACTGGGGAGCTGGGGACGCCTGGGAGTCGAGATGCCGAGACGAAAGAGTTGAGGGAGTTTTGGAAGGCTTATATGAGGACGCCGTTGAGTGGGCCTGGGAGTGCGCTGGGTCTTGGGGGGTCGCCTTCTTCCTCTGGGGCTTCTTCATCTTCGGGTTCGGCGACGGGGCATCCTCCTGATATTCATTTACTCCCTTCTGGAATGAATGGTGGATCTCCCACTGCCACTGCCACTGCCACTGGGGTTAATGGGAGTTTGAATGTGAATGGAGGAGGGGGGTATAGGAGACAGAGGGTGAATTCGTTGCCTTCTGTGAAGACGCCTACGGCGATTTCGGATGAGGATCGGTATGCGGCTGGGTTTGTTGGGTTTACGGGGCCTTTTGGTGGGGGTGGAAATGGAGGAGGGGGAAATGGAAATGGAGGGGGAGGGGGAAAGTATGCCCAGCATCCTCCACCTCAGCATCACCTTCAACAGGGGATGCCCCCGAACTCAAGTATGAATTCGAGTATGAATGTGGGTAGGGGCAACTCGATGTCGATCCCGATGTCGATGTCGTTACCTATGCCGATGGAGATGCCTATGCATCATTCGTTGCATGGGGGGAGTCAGCATCCGCATCAGCAGCAGCAGCAGCAACAACAGCAACAACACCATCATCAGCATTCGCATTCGCATTCGCACCATCTCGGTGCGCCGCCTGGTCCTGGTCCCGGTGCAGGGGCAGGTGTGGGACCAGGTGCAGGTGCAGGTGCAGGAGGACCGGGAGGGCCTGGAGCCGGAGCTGGTCAAGGCGGACAGGGGGGACAAGGCGCAAGCCGCTCAACGACGATGCACGGTAACGCTGAAGATTTACGGAGTTACGAAGCTGCTGTGTTGGCGAGGAAGGCTCCGGTGAATTTGAGTATGGAGGGGTTGGGGGAGAAGATGAGGAGGAAGGCTGCGAATAGTTTGACTCCGCCGGGGGGGTATGGACATGGGGGTGGGAAGGGTGAGCATTCCAGTGCTGCGATGCCGATGACGAAGAAGACAACGACGGGTGCGGGAGGCGGGACGACGACGACGGATTCTTCGCCTTCCTCTGTGTCCTCTGTGGCTTCGTCTCCTGCTTTACCGCAGAGTTTACCGAATGAGGGTGTACTCGGCAACACGCTCTCTGTCGATTCGTTGATCGCCAGTGCGGGGCGGGGTATTGGCGGCGGCGTTGACTCTGGAGCCTCACGCCGACCTTCGTTCAAGCGCGGGGCATCGCAGGTGTTGGAGAAGAGCGGGAGTGGAAAGTTGGCGAGGAGGTCGTCTTCGAGGGATGCGAGTGTTTATGATGATTATGATGATGATGATGATGAGGAGGATGATGGTGATGAGGGGGAGGATGGGGAGGATGAGGTTGGTGGTGGTGGGTATGCTGTGGATGGAGGAGGGGGGGTTGAGGTGTTTGGGGAGTTTGATGGGGTTGTGGTGTAGGGTGTAGGTGTAGGTGGAGGCTTCTTTACTGTGTATCGATATGGATGTGTTTTCTTTTTGCAGTTGGAACTGTTCGTAGCTGGTTTATTGACAGCCCAGCCCAGCCCGTTCGTCTGTTTTTTTGATAGATATTCTTTGTTTTTATTAAAAAAAATCTCGTTATCGCTTCGTTTCGTTTCTGTTGTTAATTATTATTTTTCTGACTCTTTTTTCGTTTTCTTTCTGTTTTCGTTTTACTTACGATGACGATTAATACCATTAGTACGATTACATAACACTTTTCTTTCCTTTTTTATGTTATTGCTCGCGTTTTACAGTAATCTTTGCTCCTGTTTCTTTCTGTTTCCTAGTTATTTCTTGTTCGTTTATTTCTTGTCCTTTTATTTCGTTTCTCCCTCCCTCTCTCTCTCTCTTTCTCTATTACGTTTCTTGTCCGTCTCTTTCGTCTTTCTTGCCCTGTGTCAAATCAAATGTCTGTATAATTAAGTAACTACCCTCTTTCTCTCCTCCGAGTACCCACCCCTCCACACCCCATCCCATTCCACCCATTCGTAGCTTAAGAGAAAAAAATGTTTCAGCGTTCATTGTTTGACTCTTCTCCCCCCCCTCCCCCTCCCCCTCCCCCTTCTTTAGCTCTGAACGAAGTTACGGTTAAAGATGTACTACGCACTGATTATGTAGACTTGTTATGTATACCTAGTAAACGTTTCCTTTCCGTTTTGTATCCTCTCTCTGCTGTTCGTTAATTATAATGTCTGTTCCAAAATGTTTGTTCTCCTCTCGGTACCGGTACCGGTAACGGCTGCGCTCGGACTCGGACTCGTCCCGTCAACAGTTCAGAGTCCGGCAGGTTACAGTGGGACTCTGAACTGTTGACGGGACAACTCCGAGTCTACGCTGGGAAAGAGTCCTCAGATTTCGATACGATGCCTCGCAACAAAGTTTTATCTGATCTATTAAACCCTGCATCGTCTCACTCGTTCCCAGGTTTCACAGGTAATGGACTATTCTTTGGTGGCTTTGAGAAAGTAGATGCGTGGCTTGTGAAGTGAAGGCTTTGGGGGGCTGCTTCGAGAAGCAACAACATCACATAACACCAATGTAATGCCACGGGCAAACCGTGGCCTTACAGCTGGCAGGGTCCAGACTTCACACAGATATTGTCCCATTTTAAGCGCTTCGTATGTCCTGTGCATCTTATGAAACAAAATGTCCCACCCTGCCTTTTATAGTAGTTAAATTTCGTAGCCCCGGCATCCAACAGACGTTTACGAAAAATAAACTTCGTATGATTTGTCCCACTGTCCCACTGCTTATGAAGTGCTCAAAATGCAACAATAGCAGTCATGACGACCAGGTTTCATATTAGGCTTCGCAATGAAGCACAACACTAATTCTGAAAGGTTGGAAGGCCTTATTAAAGCGAAGTGGTCGAGATGTGTACTGAACAATCAATTAATTAGTAGATGTGGCAGGCGTATCAAATAGCAAATACAAATAAGCAAAGGGTGAAAACTCGAACAGGCAAAACTTCTTTGAAAACAGCTGTAACACCTTTCTCTTTGGTACGACGGCGTTCGGGCACTTTGTAAAAAACAATCAATCTCATTCAACTCTATGCTGGGAAAAAGTCCTGGGAGAGCTGGAAATTCTGATTGTTTCATTATGTTTATTTGTTTTGACATTATGATAGGGTTTCTATCTAATCCAAGAGCCGCCGATACCCAAAGAGATCAAAGTGAGGTGGCGTCGTCGGATGGTTCCATATGATCTAGTGGCTTGTCAGATGAGCTAGTACGACAAGTTCACGAGTCCCTCAGCTGGCCAGGTAGCCGCTTTTCATTTTGCCTTTTTTCTCTTTCTTTCTTTTATGGGGGCGGTCCGCGCGAAGCGTCCGGTGGCACGGACTGTCCCAAAAAAGGAAATTGGGTCGTTCGTGGTTATCTGCTCCCCTCTTCAGGAACCAAGCTATCAGCCTGAGCTTGATTGCGCTGAACTCTGTAAAATTTTTTAGCCTGATCTCCCCAAACCATAAAGCGCCACTCGATTCATTGAGAAATACTCGTTAAACCAATAAACCGACCACCTCTTGAACATCCCAGGGTGGGCCACTGCCAGTAATATGTACACGTCTGTATTGCATTTTGCGCGCTTTGAAATATATCTCGTCAGTGACTATAGTTAATCAAGCCTAATCTATGAGCAACTCATCTATGCGTACGCTTTTAATTTTGAGGGGAGGAGTAATCACATGTAGTTCTCCGGATACTTCGACGAGAAAAAGAAAGCCGAAGCAAAATTCGTCGAAGAATTTAATTCTAACAAAATTTTACCCCGAGAAACAAAAAAAATCCATCTCTCTGCGAATTCCGGATTTTTATATACCGGCAGGCGACGTATCATTTCCTAGAAGCGACTTTTCGGAGGATTTCGATGCCAAAGGAAGCAAAAAGTGACTGGAGTTCTACTGACGACGGGACTTGAACCCGCAACCTTAGCTTTGACCAAGTACTCTTTTGTCAAGGAGGTCATTGTCAAGCTATGCATTACCCTTCTGCCACGCCAGTACGATAAACTTATGTTGTACCATGGGTTTGAGACTTGAATTACAGGCGCGAGCCTGCAACAAACAGCTTTTAAAATTTCGTGGCAAGGAAATGTGTGGAAAAACGTCAGAAAGCAAGTTTGCATCTGGAAGTCGTGGACACTACTTACATCCTACGCCGATTTCTTGCCCTTCTGTTGATCCTCTCCCTAGCCTAACCGACTAGCTGATTCTCTACTTCCCTCCACAGAACAAAACTTGTTCCGCTTCTTCACCAACTAAGGTCCTGAGAGGATTTCGATTCACCATACACACATCGGTCCTACAGTTCTTTCCTCCTATCTCTAGTCTCCCAATTCCGTTCGGATTTTATATCCCTTTTAGAGCACAGTTGGGTAACGGAAGAAATTAGAGGGGGTTAGGTACGTGCACCCGATTTCTACAGCTCCGATGTGCGCACTGATTGCCACGTCGTTCACCAGCTCTGGCCGCTGCAAGCAATCAAATGCCCTTAAGACCCTCTCGACTACCCTCGTCTCCATCACCCTCTGCCCTTTGACCCCGGACCGATACACAAGATTCTCGGTTTGGCCAACGCCCAACGCTCAAGCATGTGTCTCCCGCAGGAGGTTCCGATCCTTAATCAAAAGTTATGTAGAAAATACTCAACTTGCGGGAAAAGACCAGTCTGCGTCAATAAATGAGCTGACTGACAAGTCTGTCCAGTCTTCTCCAGAATGAAAAGAAAGCTTATCGCACTCAACATATGGTTTCGTTGCGGAATTCGATCTTAATCAAACCTCAAATTCTGCCCTTTCCCCTTCAACGAGTTCCTCATTTCCGCAACTCTGCCCAGACTGTAAAGCTTCGAGCGGCATGCGGGCCATCTTTGACTTTGGGAAATGGTCATCCAGTACGCTCGCCTCCGGCGCCAGGTCTTCCGTCCCCATCGAAAAAAAAATAAAACATCAGGCGCCGGAGCTTGTGTGGAAACCCCCCGTCGAAGAAAAAGGACAAAAAAAATCCAAATACATAGCCCTTCGGTTCAGTGTATCTCATTAATGTTTCGGCTTCTCCCTTACTAATTGCAAACGCAGTGCTCTAGATCTCAGAACCGCCAGCTCCAGCTCTGCTTAGCCGCCGATGGAAGGGACCCTGCATGAGTAAATGCAGGATTTAATGGCAATGCGATACTTAGCTTCACTTTTTACCAAAGAAGGTTTGTCCAAATCCAAAGTATGGCAGCATGAAAAAGGCAGCGAATAGAAAGTTTGTTCATTTCCTGATTGCACCCTTGGCTTCAAAACTAAAAATTGCGCAGAAGCTAATGTCTTTCCCAACCACCACCGAAGCTCCGTAGCCCCCTGATTCGGTCTCATCAGGACCCAGAGGAAAAAGAAACCACGTACCTTCCATAGGCGACAGACATGCCGCGAAGGCGCACAGTATAGGAGATGAGAGGTTGGAATGGAAACATAATAGTCAGTGGACAATACAAGAACAAGTGCGGGAAAACAAGGTTCGTCCTGTTCTACCGTATAAGCGGCTACAGAACGTAAACATGTATAAAAACACTAGCTCATTCGCTCCAAGGCTCTTGAATAAACACGGCAAAACCCGAATAATAACATGACGCACATTCGACCTAGACCGATCGTGATTTGAACGAATGAGTTGCTGAGGCGGGAATGCTCTTGCCTGAGATGGTAGAGACGTTTTCTATGGGTAGGAGAAGATCCAATGTAGTTAAGGTCAGGTGTGTAGCATGCCCAAATCATTTTTTGCTTGATTGCGGAAATTGAGGCAAGTTTTCCGTCATGGTATGACGAGACTGAGAGTGCTAGAGGCTATCCAGGCCCAGCTCCTCCTACCAAGCTAGTCTAACTGAATCGACGTTCCACTCTTGGTTCAGTGCATCGTCATATCCACCTTCCGAAATATTTAATCTCTACCCTGTTGACCTAAGACCGATATCCGGCACATCTCCGCTTGAATTTTGAATCCGGCTCTACGTGTCAGACAGACCATCCTATTCTTATACCCAGGCAAATTGGGGCCATTCCTCGACTCAATCACCGAGGTTCTAGTCGTTGAAGAGCGGCTCGTTGCTTTTTCAGGGTGAGTAAGTTCTTCGGGAGCAGCTGGTTTAGATTTAAAGTAGTATCGCAAGATTTTTCAGGGCATAGACATGTTCAATCAACAGCCAGGCAAGGAAAATCCAGGAGAGGGCCTGTTTTTGAGCCATTGAGGTTCATTGAGGTCGAGAGCATGGGCGCCTAAAATTGTATTATCGAATATTATGCCGACCGGCAATACGCGTCTTTGAAGCGCCTACGGCAATTTAAGTTTACATCCTTGCCACATTCTCACCAACTTTGCTCGTTCGATTACGTTCTGATTCAAGGGAATCTTCAACAACAATACTGCTTTGATAAGAATTTCTGGTCATAAGAAATGTGGGTATACATATTTCTGCCTGGGAGATGAATTACTGCGAACTTTGACACGGTCTCGGGGGTAGTATAGATTAGGCGATTCATGATAGTAATGGAATACTGAATTATGACGGCGGCGGCGAGGCTCAAGGATTGCAGCAATGCCTGAATAATGTGTCAAAATATCGTCTTCTGTTATGCCCAGTTCCCAATCCAAAACTTCTAGGAACTCCCTCTCAATACGTGAAATATCTCGTTGCCCGAATATGCCTGTACAAATAGCCCAGTGGACGTTCTTTAATGTTTCGTCATTGACATACTGTGGAGAAGTTTAGTGAAGCTATATTGGCAAAACACCAGGTGAGTACCTTAGATGCGATGATGAGTGCCCCAAGGAAAACTCGCTCCAGCGCCCAATCTTCTAGGGGAATTTGGAGGTACGGCTGGGCTCTATCGATATAGGCAAGCGACGTCAGGATGACAGGCATAGTCACCTGCGCGCGAGTCAAAATATTGGTAACAAAAGTAGTGAATTTCGGATGACGAGTTAGAGTTCTCCCTCTCTCTAGTTTCGGTTTGCCCAAGGCAAAGTCAACAGTATCCGTGACACAGGCCACCACGTAATCTAATCCAATCGTTAAAGTCAGCAATTCAGACTTCAATCATTTCGGAATCTACACTCACCAATAATTTCTGCCGAGAGTTTGACATTGATGAGCTTGAGTAGAGCCGGTGAATGCATCGACCGATTCACCAAGCTTGCATGATGAACTGGAGTGCTGGAGGAGGGCGGCTCGGAGTAGGGTGAAGTGGAGAACATTGCTATGAGATGTGATAAAATGGGCTACTTATGAGTGAGCCTTTCACATTCGAGGAGATTCTTAAGGTCCGATAGGTTACACAGTTTGCTATGACCTCATATATTGCCCCGCGTCCCAACGCGTTCCAAATCACGCGTGCGAGAAATTGCTCAGCCTTAGGCCAGCTCCTCATTCCGGCCATTCAGATTCTCCTTTGAGTCCTCTCGGACCTTTCTGTTACCCATACCGCACGAATCGATACCCAGGAACTATTGAAAGTTTGCGCATCGGTGAGTACAACTAACGATGACGAACTTGTCACTCTAGGTTCAGATTGACAGAAAGCTGTCAGCACAGCGACTCCTCATACATCGCCTTTGAATATTTGAATCTTGACGAGTGACGCTTGTAATGATTTCATGGAAATAAATCGTTATAGCCTTGCAGCTCGTTAAGAAAACCTAGGCCAATTTAAAAGAAAATGACATTAGCCAACTTCGCGGCTGACCGTAGCCGCCATTCAAAACTTGAGCCGGTTGCCAGCCGGGCCCCAATCCTGTCGTAATTCCTATAGACTTTGCAGCGAGCCGTGCAACCGGCAAAACTATGTCATTTTTACTTGGTTGACTAATGCCGAGTTTCGGCAATAACAACAGTACTAATATGTCGTCATTCTCAAGTCACTCCTTCCCGATAACATGACCAGACTACATTTTTAGCTCTCTTTCATATCCGAAAGTTCAAAACTAGCCATGAGTCTCTAAATGACGAAGACTTGCATGTCTCAAAGGTTGTCAAGTCGTCAATATTGACGCCATTCTTGAGATTCCATGCATACTTAAGAGAAAGTCGAAACTCGAGCTAGGAATCATTCACAGCTTTATCCACCCAAATTTGATTTACAACGAAATTCAACGAAATGTCAACTTTGGTACGTTCTCCATCCTGAAGTTGCTGATTTTCAACGACTAATCTCGACCGATCCTCATTTGTAACAGCCTAGAAATACTGGAACCGACCACCCTGCTCGTGACACTACTGCAGGTGCAGCTGTAGGGGGTTTCGCTGGTCATGAAGCGGGCCATGGCCATACCGCTCGCGATACCACCCTTGGTGGATTAGCCGGCCATGAAGTTGGCCATAGGGGGGTTGATAATACATCTGGTAAGTTCAGAAGATCAGTCGCGTTATTGACTGCATTCGTCTTTCCTCTGTCCGAGCAGATTTAAGCTAACTTTCCTCTCTACAAAGGAACACATGGAAATCGTGATGCCCTTCTTGGAGCCGGTACTGGTGCCGCTGTTGGACATGGAAGTGGACGTAAGTGCTTTACCAGGTCGTATATCGAGTGTCCTGGCTTTTAATGAATGACACTCCTATAGACACCGCCAGAGACGCTGCAATCGGCGGAGTAGGCGGTGAGGCGGTCGGTCGCCATCAAGGCAACGCGGCTGATACAGGTACGATGATAGCTTGTCATCGTAACTCCTAACTCACGAGCAGCAGGTGACACTGGCAGTGCTGGTGGTGGCGGAAATCCCAGTAAAATGCAGGGTAAGCTGGAGGAGATCCAAGGCAAGGTGGAGCACGAGATAGGTAGTGTCACCGGAAGCACTTCAATGAAGTGAGTACTACATTCCTTCAGAGTGAAGTTAAATGACTGAATGTTCAATTGCAGAATGAAAGGCGAGGATAAGACCATTTCCGGTCAACGTGAGCAGGATGCTGCTCGTGGTCATGTTTGAGCAAGTTAAATCGAAAGCCAGCAGTGTATAGTGTATGTATAT